TTGACCGAAATCACGAATGTGTATGCTGGTACCTGTTGTCGGCCCCTAGTTGTATTTCCCTTTCCATTCTTGTTTTCCTTCAGGTTACAGCCGTATCCAAATTGGATGGGAACATGTTTTCACTTCGGTATTTTCGATACACATCCATATGAACTTGATGAAGCCAAGAAGCAGAAACTGACGTAGCTCGGGTCACTAATCTTTCTATGTCTGCTCATGTTCCTGTACTGCAGACCGATTTCGTCTAACTTGAGCAAAAACCATTCAGACTATGTGATTACCTAAATAGTAATTTTGAAATCCATACTATCCAGAAATTTTCCATAACTATGGACATTTATCTCTCTACTGTATTTTTACATGCCTTGTGGAATATGCCGTAATATTTTTGACAACAGGATAGAACGAAAATTGCGGTTTAGCCGATCGCTGCACCTACAGTGACTGGACTAATTTTCCAACAATAAGTACATCACTTTATATATACATATATATATATATATATACAGGGTGACTTTGAAGTTGAGTCATTAATTTTCAGATAATGATTGTAGAAGGAAGATAAACCAAAATATGTGTGTAAAAATAAAAAAAAAATAAAAAAAAATTTTTACCTTGTTTTATAAAGTATCCTCCCGACAAGTATTTCAGTGCCGACCTGTATTTGATCGTGAGGTCCCCTGTGAGGTCTTAAGTCACCTGATTCACAAGCCCGTTGTACTACATTAACAAAGGCACGAGGGGTTGGTTGCACTCGATTGGGAAACCGATCCGCATAAACATGTGCCATTTTTTATTTCGTTTGAGCCACGCAACACATACCACTATTCACTGACACTAACTGTATACAAATGAATGAGATACCTGTAAAAACATCGTTCCAAATTCTTTCGCTTTTTTGTTTCCGATGCGATGAACCGATACGGCGGATTATATCCATTGTCGCCAAACACGACCACATAATATTGTTATTGAGACAGGGCGGTACTCAAACTTCCAAAGGGCTATAACTTTGTTACTTTAATTTTACCAGGAAAATGGTAAAGGAAAAAAACATTTCTTTTGATCAGATCTACTCACTGTTAAAATAAATGACTCAACTTCGAAGTCACCCTGTATATATATATATATATATATAAATTATAGTACAATCTCAAAACTAAATATTTTCTATTATTTCCTCAAAATGGATATAACTCAAAAACCTGGCACAATCGGATAAAAGCGAATGTGATTTTTCTGATTGCCTTATGACCTTACTTCGTTTGATCCAATCTTTTCGAGAATCGCGTTTACAATACCTCCTCGATACTGGGAAGTAGAAATAGCAAAATATAAGTTTCGGCATCATATACCTAGACTATTACTTCACATCTGTACGGTTATAAAGCCTCTCAGTGGTCCTTTCAATTCAGCGCGGCGGAGTTGCTAGTGAGAAACTGGAGTTTATTCTGGAAAGCTACATAAATCGGCTGCCCGTGAGTTATTGTGTTCTGCAGGTAAACTGCGATGAGTATCGCTCATAAATAGTTGGAGGAGCTTGAGCTGGATTTACGTGCCAGCGATAGGAGAGACATTAGTCATGTGCGCCCAGCTAGCTTGACGGCCGATATCGCTATTTTTACTCGGGACAGGCGGACTAGTTTAAAAAGGGATGGTTAGAAGAAGAGTCGCACATTTTTTAGTGCTCAAAGGTTTTTCGTACCAGAGGTCAGGCCCTCCACAAGACACTTGCAAATAATGGAAAGCATTAGTCATGTGCCGTCATATCGCGTGACGTTTGACCGATATCCGTCTTTTGTAAGGGGCACTGCTTCGGCAGCTTTGTGATTACCGCATCCCGGGGCTCACGAGTTCGAACGTCCGAATTGTATATTTAATTTCCTGCTATGTATGATGTGTTGTTGCCTGTACCATGCGTGTGAGTGCAATATCAACGATAGTACCATTGCAGCGCTAGAGCCGGTTTATTATATCAGTTACCAGTAGATGGCTTGAGGTCCTCCACTCCAATAATAGCCTACAGCCTACAAAATAATTGAACCAACAAGTCCTGTAATCCCACCTTCGTCGAACTTGGCCTGTCCTGACGAGCTCTACGAAATGCGACGGAAATCCTTCTAAACCAAGAATGCTAACGGACCCTCAAATTACTGGAAAAGGTGGACTTCTTGAAATCCAACTCAAGGATAAATATATACCTACATCAAAACCTCCATTGAAAGAGGGGTAGAGGAGATCGGAAGGCTTGTATTGATGGAGTGACGACAAAACAAGAAGTCGCTGCGACCCTGCGACATACTGCTGGACCAAATCTGGAGGGCCAGTTCAGTGCTCTGGCAGAGTGGGGATTCGCCTTGTCTCCTGTAGAGTTAGGGAGAAATCCCATGCGCAGAGATGCCCTCGGTGCCTAAATATTGGACATGCAACCAAAACTGCAGTGGCACCGATCTATCCAGTCACTGTTCCTCCTGTTACCAGAAGGATTCACAAGGCGGAAGAAGGGAAGAGTAAACCACATTGCTCTAAATATGGCGACGATGATTGCAGGGTAGACTGGAGAACGAGAGAATCTAGTGCTCGTTACCCGAATGAAAGCCGCCTACACAGTAACACAGCCAGTGATCAAGAAGCCAACAGTCTGGTGGCCGACAATGACCTACGTCCTACAAGAGGATTGAGGAAGGTCTAAACTAGCCCAAGATCTGCCTGTACAGCTAGCATATGAACATAAATCAGACCTTCGAGTTATCTTTGAACAGTATCGAAACAGTCACGGTAAGACCTGACCAAATGGAACAGCCCATTGAAGACACCTTCTGAGACTAGGATATGCAGCTAGTTATTGCTGGTGACTTAAATGCAAAGGCCCCAGAGTGGGAAATGAAATGAATAGGTACTGTTTCAGGGGCTTAGCTGTTGCTAAAATGATAGCCAGGCTGGACCTGACTGTAATTCACTCGAGCATCATGCCTACTTTTTGTCGAAGTAACTGCATGCAAGCTACCTTTGCTGTGACTTTTTCCTCACCCTCCCTGGCTGCGCGGATTAACAAATGGAACGTAGTAGAGGGTTTCACCGGTAGAGACCACCAGTATGTGAAATTTGATATAGAAGAAAACATTTCTTCCAACTATAGATCTACTACTCCGGCTTGTTTTTCTAGCTGGATAGCATCTGAACTAAGCGCGGGATAGTTTCTTCAACATCTAAAGGATTTTGAAAACCCGCGTACTCCAAGTAAGAACAAATATGTCCAAAGGAGAAGCAGCGGGGCTAATCGAACCGACCATGCGCCACATCACTAAGCTAAAGGTAGCCTGGATGGAAAATCATAGGACCCGCAACATCTGCTTTTAACACAGCCAGGTGGCAAGACATTCTAGCGGCAGTAAAACACCATTTCAGTGCACCTCCGTACCCTATCAAGATTATTGAAGACTACCTAAATGAAAAAAATCTGGTCTACTAAACAACGGAAGGCTCCCGAGGAAGAGAAATAACCGCTGGCGCTGCTCAAGGCTCAGTGCTGGACCCAGATCTCTGAGACATTATGTACGATGATGGAAAACCCAGAGTGGACGTCTCTAATTGGTTTATTTTATACGGTGCAGAAGTCTGGCCCGACGCTTAGGATGTGCAAAAGTCCCGTAAGGCTACTCGCACACACACCGATTTTGGACGGCCGGTAAAATATCGGCCGACTACATTTTAATAGTAAATCATTGGAGGGCATTGAAGCTTGCACATTGGCCGACCATCGACCGGCACTGGAAAAAAGCCGGTTAGCAGCCGGACATTGTCACTGTGATGCGCCGGTACCAGGAATATACAGGGTGTTCCTTGATGATATGCGAATATTTAAGGGTGTGAATCTATATGAAAAATTAATGTTAGTTTGCTTTATAAACTATGGTCCAAAAATGCTTCCTTACAAAAGTTTTAGGAAAAAAATGGAAATTAATTAATATTTTCAGAACCGCTTCAGATATTTCACTGATATTTAGTACATCGTGGAAGTTATTAAGGTTGCTTATTTTTCAATGCAAAAATAATTTTTAGCTTTAACGGTGGCGTGTGTACGAGCATTGACTTCGATATTTTTTTAGAAAAAAATGGTACGCCAACGCTTTTTTTTCAAATACAAATTATTTTCCAATTCACCGTTCAATTCAAAACAAATGATATCTCCTGAATTGTTTTCTTTCGATGCGCCATTTTTGAATAAAAAAATAAAAACCGTTCTATTGTCTAACTTGCAAAATTATTATTAATCTAATTGGGGTAATGAACAACAACAACTGACAACATAAACATAACATTGAAACCAACGAAATGATTACAAAAATTCTTGAAAATTTCTTCCTCCACTTAGTATGCATGCTTCTGCCCCCCTTCTCATGGAATTGCGCACTCGTTGAAATATCCCTGGAGTGTTTTTTATTCTATCACAAGATGCAACTATTCTTTCTCTAAATTCCTCTACAGTGTTAATGGGACTTGTGTACACTAGTGTCTTAAGATAGCCCCACTAAAAAAAATCTAAACTGTTGAGGTCTGGGGACCTTGGTGTCCATTCTTGGGGCCCACCGCGGTCAATCCGCATGTACCACATATTATTTCTTATTACTAACCTAACATCATGAAGCAGCAAAGGCAACTGTTGCTGAAGAAAATTGAGGTAAGTTTGTCCGTCAAGTCGTCCCGGCAAAGAAGAATGGGCCAATAAATAAGTTGCCAATAATTCCTGCTCATACCGAAAATTGGTGTTGAAAATGTGTTTGGGTTACGGCATAGGGATTTTCTTCTGCCCACAAATAATGATTATTGTGGACATTCTTAATGGCATTTCGAGAAAAATTAGCTTCGTCCGTGAACAGAAAATAGAAATATTCGCATATCATTAAGAAACACCCTGTAGAGGCATACGTGTTTGAATAGGAGCTTGCACACTCACTTATTATTTAATGGCCGTGATTACGACTGCATATACGTTCACAATGGATAAAGAGATGAACATCGATAATGACATACTTATTGCGCTAGTGGAAGCAAGACCAGTTTTATGGGATAAAACTTTGGACATATTTGAAGGCACAAAAGCTGCTAGAGAAGCATGGAGCCAAACTTGTTGCGAACTGAATAAGGTTTTTAAAGAAATGGAGTCGAAAGGGAAAAATGAATCCAGAACTTTCGCTTAATTCTACAACGCTTGATACGCTGGTACAGTAACCACATTGCAACAACTCGTTGGGGATTCATTAAAAATAATATTGGAAATCAGCTCTGCACCGGTAAAAATCCGGCGCGTGTGTAAGCAGAGCCTACCGATAAAAAATCGGTCGATATTTTACCGGCCGTCCAAAATCGTGTGTGCAAGTAGGCTAAGAGATAATCATCACTGTAGAGAACATGCACGCTCCGCTTTACGTGTGCTTATCGCATGGTTTCGAAAGATGCAGTATTGTTAATCACCAGAACCCCGCCGATTGGTCTGCTTGCTTAAGAATGGCAGTTTCTGAATGAAAAACGGAGATGAGGCTATGCCGTATCAAATACCCAGGTAACGGCCGTCACTCTTAATAGATGGCAAGAGCGGTGGGAGTAAGATGGACATGTAGCCAGATGGTCCCAACTCCTTATCCCAGATGTAAGGCCGTAGTAGAAGCGGGCTGATGGAGGTGTGAACTTCTACCTCACTCAGTCCTTTTCAGGCCACGGCCTGGTTTATAGATACTTGATTAAACTAGGGCTTAGAATATCCAATCAGTGCAACTAGTGCACCCGCGAGGTCACATCGAATCACACCTTCTTTGAATGTGAGAGATGGTATCTCAAAAGGCACGACCTTGAATAGCAAATGCAGATGATACTAGCTCCACAAGCAGCCATGAAAGCAATGCTTGACAACTAGAGATCGCGTAATTTCGTAGCAGCCCACGTGAAAGGCCTTTTGAGGGAAAAAAGAATCAAGTTAGATCATACCTGTACTCTGCAAGGTTATCAGGTTTCGTCCTGGGGCACTGCCAAAGCGGTACCGGGATCAGTATGCTGAAATGAAGAACGACGTTTTGAGGTGATGCTGTCTGTAATTGGATTCCGCCTTCACTTGACAAATGCTACTTCTACTACTACTACGACTACTGCTATTGCCGCTACGACTACGACTACTTTGAAACAGTGCTCGTTTTAACGGCAGCTCTTTGATGGAAAAAGAAAATTGCACGTTTTGAAAGCCGAAAAGCTTGTTCACACCCTCTTCAGGAGGTTTATCTTGAAGAACAGATGGCAAATGAAGAGTGCTCTGTAGACCAGAAGTGATCCAGTTTCATGACACTGGAGTGTCGAGAACACTAATATTTCTTTTGCAGCAAGCAAAGTTAGTGCCCCACCAGTTTCTCGCAATCTTACCTTTTGGTTAATGAAACTCTTGAAAATTGTATGCCTGGGAGACAGCCCGATTTCATCAATATACTATCTCGGAATTAATACCGGTTAAAGAATGTCGCAGGGAAACGAGAATTCTAAGAAATTCTATTATTGTTCTATTATTGTAGAGGAGTGAACCTCATCATGACTTCAACTGAATCCACTTCTGTAATGTTCAATCTGCGCGATGGTTTTAGTCTGACACTTATTTCCACATATGCATTTTGTGGTGAACGCATTCGGGAAGTTGGTTTAGATAGATTGTTAAATTTTCCAGGGATACTTAGCGCTGCTGGTAACTGGAATGTGGAACTCATGTAGAAGCTGCGCCTCAGGGATCGATGTTTAACCATTCCCTAAACACTATCCTCTTAATACAGGTCTCTTGCGTGACGTCATTAACTTTGCGCTATGACACTGACATTCAGGTTCCATACGATTTGCAGAGGTCAAGGCACACTGTGGAATCGTATTAAACGAAAAAGTTGACCAACTCGCAAAATCAAGCATCTACACAGGATCTGTATTACAGACACAAATTTCCAAAGAAGATTATCATATTTTATCAAAACAAATCCTATTTAAAAGCTGTACGTTAGAATGGAAGGAATTCTGCTTTACGAACTCAACCAGGTATACTTTCATACATCCTGATATCCCAACAACGTACTGGCACAAAAATTTTAGAATTCCTCGTAAATACATATCTATGATTATTAGAGCAAAACTTGGGCATGGGGCTTATCCAACACATCTAGCTAGATTCCGTATTATTGATTCCAGCTTATGTGAACACTGCAACATTGAGGGGAAGGAACTTGGATCATCTATTTTTTGGCTGTTTGAAGTTACCTCCATACTGTGATCGACTCTATCTTAATCTGATTGGCTTAGGCATTATTTCACTGTTTAATGTTATCCACATTCTAGCTTTGAATAGGCTTGATGTTACGTGTCTGATAATTGACTTTTTGAAAACCTCTGGGTTAAAATTTTAGTTTTGATTAGTTAGATATCCTCTGTATAACTATCCTCTGTAATTTACCTACCTAACCGTGGCCTAATTGTTGTGTGTCATATTCTGAAAATGCCTTAATGGGTCCTTAGGCGAGAAGAGTGTATCCCTGTCCAATTCCGTCCTTACTTAGTTAGACAAGTTTAAATTGTAAAAAAGGATCTGGTTAATGGGACATAGTCCTAGTGCCATAAAAAAAATACGATTTGCAGAGAGATCACCTTCCGTCTATTTTGGAAGTGGGCTCGCTAGCGGAGGACACCTACTGTGTACTCTTCAAAGAATCAACTGGGAGGTTTACAACGTCTGTCTGACTTCCAGATGGCCTCCACAATCTGCAATAATCATAAGTTGGATGCATCCGTATCTGGTTGAACTGGATATATATTCGCGCGGCCATGAAATCAGCGTCTGTTTCTCGTATGTTTGATCCTGGGAGAACTTTCTTGCCTTCACAAATCATCTGTTTGATGAACAGATGATTTGTGAAAAGTGGCACGCAGTCAAATAGGCAACGAAAATGTGGACCAGATGACATTTCAACTCAAACAACCTGGTATACTCGGTGCGAAATTCTACTTCTGAACTGAACTTTTTGGAATCCATACTTTACTCTGGGGTATAGCCAAATCTTTACGACCGAATAAGGAGGGAAAAATCCCTCCACTCTAGATAGCAACTGACATTGTCTACCTTGATGCGGAGAATATCGTAAGTTTTGGGGATCTGGTGGTGAGCCAATCCTCCCCAAATGAGGGCACAACGTATTGATCAATATGTCGTTTAATATTTTAGGGACCTTGATCAAACAGTATCTCAATAGCATCCCGCTTTGAAGTCTTACGGAGCTTGATGGTCATACCAATGTTATTAAGAACCGTAATGCACCCGGAAAGTATCAAGTTGCAGCTAAACCTGTTAAGTGTCTATATGAGCGATCAAGAATCTATCTGCGGACGATTACTAATGCTATCCTTCGCTTGCAATATTTCTCTTATGACCGGAAACTTGCACATGTATTAATAATACCGAAAAGAGGAATTTCTGCATATCCGCAAGAATACCAGTCTACTATCTATTCCGAGTAAACTCGCTGAGACAGTCATTCTTGACCGATTGCAGGATTTTTTTTTTGAGGAGGAAGAAATACTTCCACAGGTGCAGCTCGGCTTTCGTTAATAACAGCTGCAGGCAAACAGAGTGGTTTAGACGGTCAGTTGCGAATTTACTAGTAGTCAGAGTAGTGGCGTCTTATTGCTAGACATTTGTCATAGTATGGCAACAGGATCTCGTCTACATGCTTATTCACCTAGACTGTCCGTTTTGGACATCTAAATTAGGACAGGAGTCTCCGAGGCTCCGTCTTGGCTTCGACCCTATACCTAATCTGTACTACTGGCATCCCTCGTTCAGGCCACCCAGAGTTATTCCTTTACGCTGAGGATACCGCTCTGGTGGCTAAGTCAACACACGCCCCAGAGATTGCAGACCTCCTTCAGGAGGCTGTCTGTCAGCTGGAGGAATACTTTTGCATATGAAAAATAAATATTAATGCACAAAAGAAACAAGTTGTTTTCCTAACAAAACGTAGGCATTCTGCACTTAGGTAGTAGAGAACATTTGATCGAAAGATACCATGATAATTACCAAGTAATTGGGGAGCTCTATGGTATGTTTCGAATAACAGACTACATTGAGATCTCAATATTCGTCATCTCAGTGAATATTAAATATACAGGAGCAGCCAGTCATTCTAGACGTCTTATAAGGGAAGTTGTGAGTTACTCTGTAGCTGATCTTCAAACACACAAACGTCCAAGGCTAGCCCTACTGTAATTATTGGACCCTTTTCATTTGGAAAAAGAGGGCTTAAGATCCAAGTTCTGCCTGACATGCATAGATGTCAGGTCAGGTCCCACAATGTAGTCGACTGAATCTATTAACGGCCTCCGCCATCTCTGAAGCAGTTTTGATAGTCAAGCATATTACATCGAGAGCACACACTTGACGTTTACGCAACACGCGCATACAGCTACCAACAGCTACAGCTAGTACGTAGTAGAAATGACGGCGATCAGGAGTGTCAGATTGAGACTGGCAATATCCACCGTTTTCACTTCACAGTTAACGCAATAAAGATGCCGAAAACAACATCCCTTGCATATCCCCAACTAGAATCGGATGCAGTAACTGGGACCCCGTACAAGCACTTGGAATGTTTTTATTAAGCAGTTACTTGGAATGTAGTTATTAAGCAGTTAGTTGGTTTGGCGACGCAGTATGCAAATGGGGCGGCTGAGTCCCCGATAAGTTGCAGCTTTGGAGCCGAACACACCCTAATTCTTGGTTTATACAGAATACGTGAATCAGAATGCAAAGAAAATCCATGCGCCTTGACAGATATGCATATAGTCGCAACTGTAGTACCAAGTTCCATGTAGTAAGAATGCGTAATCGGCGAGTTCTCTCCAAATTATTATAGTACGCGTGTTGCATTATAAGCTGATCACAAATTAACGCGTGAGCGAGCTCTTGTAGTCTTAGAGTCTTGGAGGCAACACAGACCGAGATAATGGACTTCTTAATCTGTGGTAGGACGCCCGTCGCGTAGTGTCTGTAGACTTGAATAAACCATACGTAGCGGTTGCTAATAACGGCACAGTGACACCGCATTTGAATTTAGACAGGTGAGTTCTTATTCGGATCTACACAGCTACACAGACAGGATCACTATGAATGGGACGATTGAGAAAACTCAAAGGATTACCTATAAGAACTTTTAGCAGTCACACAGAGAAGTACTTTTCTCCACCTGATCGCTACGTATAAAACACAGCCTCGGGTGCTGCTCTTTTGTTCTTAAGTAGCCGAAACTGTGTAACAAACTGGGAAGGATATCCCCAGCTCTGCCCTTAGGCGGTTCAAATATCAGATTGAAAAGGTTTCTCCCTACACTGAATTAGAGTGAAAAACTTAATTGCAAAGGAGTATTTGCAGAGGAATCCCTTGATATCCATTCAGCACCTAACAAAACCGAAAACACACTGACTTGTGAATGGAATGAATAGGGCTAGATGGTCAGCTGATTTGTACGAATATAGACAAGTCATTTCTTAAGCAAATTAGAAAACCCCAAAATTTTCAAATTTCCGACACGTGTGAAGCGACGTAAAGTGGTCTAACAACATGACCTCACCTGACTTCCATCAAAAAGCCGATCTAGTAATCTACAAATTGAACTCCTTGATTCGATACCCCATTTAGGCATACTTGCTTGCTTTGGGGTTCAGCCTTACGTTCGTCCCTAAAACTTGACAAGAGTTTAAAAAACTGGACTCAAAATATGTCCATTCGTAGTAATATCTCGATACCACACAGGCATATAGATAGACACAACCACAGTTACGCAGGTTAAACTTGAACTTATAACACGCGTCGATTTGAGCGAGTATAAAGAGAAAAATACTCAAGAAAATTGTAGGTTAGCACTCACAGTTACCAGTATTGCAATCGCTTTCGTGAATAGTCCAAATTTTTGGAGAAAACACTTCGTATCAATCCATTCAGGATAACGCTACAATCATCAAGAGCAAGAGGCAGATCGTAC